GCATTGGCAGGATACTCAGTTGGTACTAATGGGGCCAAAGTGTGCCAAGAAATTATCCCCCACACCATTAAACCACCAGCAGGAGCCTGAACAGTTACAAGGCAGGATGGATCCATGTTATGTTGTTGATGTTAAAAATTTTGACTCTACCATTCGAATGTCACAGCAGAAATCGAGACTCATCAGACCAGGCAACGTTATTTCAATCTTCTATTGTCCAATTTTGGTGAGCCAAAATTGGGGTTACATTCAGTATAGGGGGGTGCGAAGTGGATGGCAACATCAACAGCCTGAGTTATCAAGACATGTGTGCTGCACATTACATTTCAAACCACTGGAGAGGGCAAATTCTTCAGCAGGTTAGCGCTCCTTCTCATACTTCAGCCTCCAACATCAAAGTTCCTGAAAGCAAAGAAGGTCAAGGTGCACCGGGATTGGCCAGCCCAGTCACCAGATTGAACATTATTGAGCATGTCTGGGGTAAGATAAAGGAGGAAGCATTAAAGATTAATCTAAATAAAAGAATCTTGATGAACTCTGTGAGTTCTGCAAGAGCGCTTTATTTGTTGTTCCTTAAACTTGGATAGGGGACAAGACTTTTGTCAGGTAGTGTATAATATTTAATATAAGGCTATAATTACATATCACTTCTCATAACACTGAAACATCAAGCTTTCCTTTTACAAAGAGCTGGATGAAAGTGCCAGACTATCATTAACTGCAGTGCCAATTATGCAAATGGAAAAGCAATACGGTCATTTAGGATGCATTGCACAACCAGCACTAATACACACAGATCTAAACCACAATTGAGAGGCAGCACTTCTTGACATGGCCCAGAGTGGAACCATTAACCTGTGGTTATTTTTCTCTCTCTCTCTCAATACAAGTACAATCCATCTGGGACTCGCTTCCCCGCAAAAAAAACACACACACAACGCATGACAGAGACGGCAGCTCAAGCACTGCTGGAGTATATGAAGATGTCTATCAGTCAAGGATAATGTTGAGTGTTAGATGTCTCACCATGATTCGATTGTCTTGAAACAGGATCTTGAGATAAAGGGAGGGCGCAGAGTGAAAAGAGACGGGAGGGAAAGAGAGAGTGAGGAAATGGACGGGACTCAGATTGGTGAACAAAGTCATCAATGCGCCAAATGCAATAATGAGCAAAGTGGTTTTTAGCGCCATGATTGGGAGGGAGACAAAATCCACAGAAACAGAACAGATACAAATAAGGGGAGTGACGCAAAAATAGGACGTTGTGGCAGTGGAAAAGAGGTGGGAGACACACACACAAACTAGCTCACTCACTTTCCTTCAGGACTTACCCTGATTTGTCAGGAGTCACCACAGCGGAATGAACTGCCAACCACTCTGGCATTAGTACAAGTGTTGGACAATGAAAAACAAACAAACAAACGCTGGTTTCATGGCTAAATGTGAACAGCCTGGTGGCCAATCTTCATCAAATGCAAATTCTACCCATAAGAGCAGAATGTGCAGGTTTAATCAGCAGAGTAAAAGCAGAGTTTTGCTTGAAATATTGCAGTGCACACAACATTATGGGTGACATATCAGAGAACAAAAGAGAACAAATTGTTAGTGCGCATCTTGCTGGCACATCTGTGACCAAGACAGCAAGCCTTCGTGATGTATCAAAAGCCACGATATCCAGGGTAATGCCAGCATACCACCAAGAAGGATGAACTAAATCCAACAGGAGTAACTGGACACAAGAGGAAGCTGTCTGAAAGTCATGTCTGGCTGCCAACTCGGATTGTATAAAAATAAAAATAAAAAAAAAACACAGCTGCTCAACTCACTGCAGAATTAAATGTGCACCTCAACTATTCATCAGGAGTTCCACAGGGTCAATACCCAGCAGGTACAGGATGTCAACATGAAGTCAGATTGACATTGTACCCAAACTTCGGGGGTCGTTGAATTTTGTTTGGAAATGAAAATTAGGTTGATGTCAGAACCCAACAATAATGTCCAACCTAACATTAAACAAATATCAACGTCTAATGACAGTTTGGTGTTGTGCGGTGGTTACCACTATGACGTCTATCAGACTATCAGTTGGATTTTGGTTGCCAGACCTGACAAATAAATGTCAGTATTTGATGTCAATATGATGTTGGCTCAACATTGGATCTTGGTCATTTTCCAACACAACCTAAAATCAACCAAATGTCAACGTCATTTGACATCATCATTGGACGTCAAAATAACGTTGTCCTTAGACGCTGGCTAGACATTGAATTTTGGTCACCTGACGTCACAACCTAAATCTTACCTAATATTAACGTCTTATAACGTGTGCCTGCTAGGTACATGGCCGGGCTGCTATAGCCAAACCTTTGGTCACTCGTGCCAATGCCAAACCTCTGTTTTAATGGTGCTGACAGCTAAAATTTTGGGTACATGTGAAACGTGAATTGTTTTCTGGTGAGTCCACCTTCACTGTCTTCCCCACTTCTGGGAGAATTACGGTGTGGAGAAGAAAGAAGCGCACCACCCACAATGTTTCAAGCCTAGAGGAAGGCATGGGGGGGATAAGTGATGGTTTAGGCTGCAAAATCAAGGCATTCCCTAGACACAATTCTTGTGCTAGATGGCACAACTGCCAAGGACTACTAAACCATTCTGGAATACCATGTGCACCCAATGGTTCAAACATTGTATCCTGAAGGCAGTTCCATGTATCAGGTATAAATTATAATACACCAAGCAAGACTGGTGACAGAGTGGTTTAATGAACATAAAGATGAAGTTGAACATCTCCCATGGCCTGCACAGTCACCAGACCTAAGAATTATTGAGCCAGTTCGGTATGTTTTGGAGGATCGAGTCAGGAAACATTTTCCTTCAGCATCACAGTGACCTGGCCACTTTTCTGCAAGAAGAATGGCTCAGAATCACTCTGGCCACTGTGCATGACTTGTATCTGTCATTCCCAAGACAAACAGATGCTATATTGGTTGCAAAAGGAGGGCTCTATACCATACTAATGAATTATCAAGGTTTAAAACCAGGCATTTCAGTTTCATTATCCAAACCTTGTATATCTTGCTAGTGCTTTTTGCATTCAGAACTGCCTAATTTTTTGTGGCAAAGATTCAACAAGGTGCAAGAAACTATATATCATCTCTCAGCTGCTGTAGATTTGTCGGCTGTACATTCTGTTCCAGAACATCCCAAATGTGCTCAGATGGACTGAGATCTGGTGAATGTGGAGGACATTTGATAGTGAACTCAATCACATGTTCACAAAAGCAACAGTATGAGATGATTTGAGCTTTGGCATGAAAACCTGCTTGAAGTAGGCACCATAAAATGGGTACTCATGCAGTGGTCAAGGTCAGCATGATGGTGTCATGAATAACTTAATTGATTTCCTCACATTTACAAACACAAACTCAGAACTGTACCATTGTATAAACAACAAACCGTCTTGTCAAAATCAAATATAGTGCAGTCAAGAACACATTCACTTCGCCTGACAGGATACAACTTTGACCTCAGATGACATACAGCGCTTACAAATACACAAGAGTACTTCTCTGCCCACAGAGCACTAATAAGATCAATTCAAAACACTGTTACTAAAACCTATTATTGGCAATTAGCAATCATTTTGCTGCTCACAGCAAAGAGAGTGTATACTGTCAAATGCATCAAGTTTATAGGAAAAAATACTTTCATATGAACAAAGTGTAGCCTAAAATATTAGTGTAGCATTTTTTTTGTTTATAGACTTCTGGTTATAGCAATGGCAAGATTCTTTGATTCCCAAGTAACACAAATAACAAATGCACTATAAGTTGATTTGTGAGATAAATGAGCGTAACTTTAAGTCTTTATTAAAGTCTGGCGCAAAGTTTGGAGGTCATAAAGTTTTGTCCAATGTTAAGTCAATGGGACTTTTCCAAATTTTCCAGGTCAGTTTTCGGAAAACTGTAAGTCAGATCAAGTGAAAAAGATATAGCAACCCGAGTCAGACCAGTTTGGAGGTTTGGAGTTGGTTGTAGTAAGAACGGTCTAGGAGGAGATGCATATAGAAATGAGTCTCAGAAGAAGACGGAAGAATAATAAGTTTATGTGGTATAAGAGTACTCAAGCCGCCATAATAATACCCTTTTAACTTTTATTTAACGTTTACAATGCAAATCCAATAAGATCCACTTATTTGGTAAACAAAGCAAGTCTCACATGTAATATATACACTAAAAGGCGGAAAATTCATTCATTCATTTTCTTGTCGGCTTAGTCCCTTTATTAATCTGGGGTCGCCACAGCGGAATGAACCGCCAACTTATCCAGCAAGTTTTTACGCAGCGGATGCCCTTCCACCCGCAACCCATTTCTGGGAAACATCCACACACACACACTCGTACACTACGGACAATTTAGCCTACCCAATTCACCTGTACCACATGTCTTTGGACTGTGGGGGAAACCGGAGCACCCGGAGGAAACCCACACGAACGTAGGGAGAACATGCAAACTCTACACAGAAACACCAACTGAGCCGAGGATCGAACCAGCGACCTTCTTGCTGTGAGGCGAACGTGCTACCCACTGCGCCACTGCATAACTCTGCATGTGCAGATTCTGTGTGGGCCTACTTGTGATTGATCAGTATTGAAATAACATCACAATTCATGCATGTAAACATGATCAGCATTAATGATTAGCATATTAATTCTGAAGATTCACAGGTGCAAGTGAAAGAATGTTGCTAAAACTTTATACCTCCATTATCAAACGCAGGCTATCAGTTGGGTTTTTACCACTCTTAACCCCTTTTACTGCTGCTACAACCACATTATCTTAAAAACCACACTACATTTCCTCCTGCATTCCTGACGAGTATTGATGAGCATGTATAGGAGGATGCGTTGCAAATTGTTGCATGGGTTGCTGTTTCATGGGGCTATTCAATTATTATGCCTAGTAAATGAATATACTTGTTTTAAATTTCTAGAAAAAAGTAATAGACAATAAAGTGTTTTTTTATACATATTTTAATGCACAACAAATGTGTATAATTATTAATGTGCACATTTCAAAATAGCGTATAAAATACATGTTGAGCACTGATCATAACCGAAAATGGTTAAAGAAAAAATGAAAAAATGATTTGACAATTTGTTTCATAATCTGCCATTCCAATGCAAATATGTGTAGAGCAAGCTTAAGAAATGTCAACGGTACAGTTTCTAATCTTTCTAAAAAGCAGCACTGTAAAATATCTCTGTACAAACAGGCAAACAGTGGTGGTGTAACGGATCACAAATGTCACAGTTCAGATCACACTACAGTTTTTGAGTGACGGATCAGACCATTTTTCGGATCAGCAAAAAAAAAAGGAGACAAATGTCATTTGCTTTCCATTTATACAAAAATATTACTGCAAAAACTACTGGTTTCAACAAACAGAACTTGAAACCTGTAGTGTTAATAAAAATTAAAATCAAAATCAAGAATGAACCAGCTGAAAAGTAAAATATTCAATATGAAAAATGATCTTTGCTACTGTTTCTGATAATGCTAAATATAAAAACCTAACATTTTGTGCAACATATATTTATTTCAATTAATGATTCAACAATTCACACATCAAACTTCTTGTTTCACTATAGGTGTATCATTTTTGAAAACCTTTTCAGTGACATCATTTTGATGGTTGTTTGTCGCCACCCATTGGTTAAACAATGTAATTACTACAACATTCACCAGCGTCAAGTTCCAGTAGTTGGTGATTTTAATCTTTACTATAAACGTGTTTATATCTGAACTATAGACTGTCCCAGCAGCCACACAACATCATAAGATGTTAATATTAGGTTAGATTTAGGTCATGATGTCAGATGACCAAAATTCAATGTCTAGCCGGCGTCTAAGGACAACGTTATTTTGACATCCATTAACATCGTCAAATTATGTTGTTGGAAATGGAGAAAAATCCAACCTCTGGTAGATGTCATAGTGGTAACATCAACACAACGTCAAAGTGTAAGTAGACGTTGATATTTGGTTGATTTTAGGTTAATTTTAGGTTAGACATTGACGTCGGCCTGACATTGGGTTTTGATGGCAAACTCATTTTCAACGTCAATATGTCATCATGTTGACGTCCTGTGCCTGCAGGGGTTATCCCAGTACTTCTGTGTAATGTAACTGTTTGTAACAAACTGAAAAAGTGTAAAAACTGAATCTCTCTCGATGAAACCCAGATTCGACAGCAGCTCTTTGAAGGATTAATAAACATTTGCAAATTATTATCATTTATAATTGATGTTGCGCGGTTTGAATAGAGTTCAGTATCTTTTAACGTTTAATTGTGCAGCTTTACACTGAGTGCATTAATGCCAGCTAAACAAACTGTGACAGAAAACACCTTTAATTAATAACCTAAGGAAAGCATTTAGGTCCCACCACAACTTGTTCCGTCATCGTAATATTTATATCATATTACAGGAAAGCCAAAATGCTTTCATTCACTTGATTTGATTGACGCGGGAGGCGATCTCTCTGCAACTGTTATAAATGTTGGATTAACCTACAAATTTAAAAGAAGTTATTAATCCGGTGGTCACGTGCATTCCGAACTGTGGGTTGTGATCCGTACAGATCATGGATCATCCGTTACACCTCTAGTAAACAGTCATTAGAACACGGACAACACTAAAAGCAAAAGTAAAACGAATACACAGCATTTTTAAAGGGACAGTTTACCCTTGTGTTCTTCTGAGCCTTGATGTACTGTAAAATAAGTAATCTTGAATCATGACAGCTCCAGTCTCCTTTAACACAATATTAGATCATTAGATTAGCAATAAATGACAGAATTACAATGTTTGGGTGAACTGTCCCTTTAAAGTGAACATCACCATTTCCAAAGGTATAAACACTTCAGAATCTTAGCATGTTACGATGCATTATAGACTAAAATAAGAATTTCATCAGGTCATGTGCAATACAATGTAGTGAAAAAGTAGGTTAAGGTTATGTTCCACTGTCCTGTTTCTGTGTCTTTCAGTCTGAGCCGGACTCTGAGCTGGCTGGAGTGCTGACCGCTTCCTCTTCTTTTTCATTATCAGACCCCTGTGTAAAGGGCAGCAGGAATGAGAGCGAGACTGTTAATACTGTACACCCGTTGGTATAAATAGATGTATACCAGCATGCATAATATACTGTGTTTTAAAATGGAAACCCAAAGGCCCAGTCTGCACCTGGTATTAAAGTGCTTTTTGTCTTTTGTCCGATCACATGTGGACACAGCACTAAATACAGATGTAAAGGGGAACTGAAAAACTCAGAGCTTGGCCACTTTCTACGAAAATCAAATCTAGTTTCATATTATCATAGGCCCTTTTTGCACCTGGAATACTGTATTAGGTGCTTTTTGCTGGCCTAATCACCTGAGGACATTGCTAAAAACAGATGTACACGGGAACTGAAATATCCTCAGTGGTGGAAAAAGTACACAATTTAGGCACTTGAATAAAAGTACAGAGACACTAATAAAATATAACTTGTGTCAGCGCAATAGCCTAAAGGTTAGCACGCTGACATATGGTGCAGTAGCACTTCAGGGCATCCCGAGTTTGAATCCCGGCTCAAGGACATGTCCCAACCCTACCCTCTCTCTCTCTCCCACTTCGTTTCCTCTCTAAAATACTGTCCTATCCTCTTAATAAAGGCAAAAGGGGCAAAAATAAATCTTTAAAAAATATATATAACTTGTTAAAATTGATAATATTGTTATAAATATTAGTCCTTCTACTAAAATGTCATAATACAAAAATACTATATTTTTATATACTTAGTAAAAATTTATTTGCAAGACAAAACTCATCACACTATGATAACCACGATAATTTATGATAAATGAAGCAAAACCACATTCACACGCTGAACCTCACTTAGATCTGTTCATAAAATCAGTGAATCATTTCCTGGAGACTCACTCTAAATAGATCATTTAAATCAGTAAATTGTTTACTGGAGGCTCAGGGTCCTGCCTTCAGAGGGTCCCTGTGGGGATGGGCACTTCTAAATAGAGTGCAGTGTCTGACACCAAACAACTTCCCTGCCAAACCAAACAAAGGATCATGGCCTGAAGTGTCCATCAGTTGTATTTTACCGTTTCTATGTGCGCCTGCAGCTTATGACCGCTGGATGACGTTTTAACCATAGATTTTCAGCTTTACCCCTTCACAAGACTAGATAGCGCGATGGCGATGCAGTGGCGCAGTAGTGTCGCCTCACAGCAAGATGGTTGCTGGTTTGAGCCTTGGCTGGGTCGGTTGTCATTTCTGTGTGGAGTTTGCATGTTCTCCCCACGTTCGCGTGGGTTTCCCCTACAAGTCTAAAGACATGCAGTGCAGGTGAACTGGGCTATAAACTGTCTCAGCAGACACACAACATTAGATGTTGATATTAGGTTAGATTTAGGTCACTCAATGTCTAGCCAGCATCTAAGGACAATGTTATTTTGACGTCCATTAACGACGTCAAATTATGTTGATATTTGGTTGATTTTAGGTTTTGTTGGAAAGTGAGCCAAATCCAACGTCTGATAGATGTCATGGTGGTGTAACATGAGTAGACGTTGATATTTGGTTGATTTTAGGTTGACAGTTTACCCTTGTGTTCTTCTAAGCCTTGATGTACTGTAAAATAATTCATCTGGATTCATGACCGCTCCTGTCTCCTTTAACATAACATTAGATCATTAGATTAGCAAATAATAACAGAACTATTTCAGGTGAACTGGGCAAGCTAAAAGTGTCCGTAGTGTATGTGTGTGAATGAGTGTATATGGATGTTTCCCAGTGATGGGTTGCAGCTGTAGTAAAAATACATGCTGGTGAATGTTCGCAAGAAAATGGAATTACCAAAACTTGTCATACTCCTCAATGATAATTTATGATAAATTAAGCAAAACCACAGTCACACGCTGAACCCCACTCAGATCTGTTTATAAAATCAGGGAATCATTTCCTGGAGGCTCACTCTAAATAGATCATTTAAATCAGTAAATCGTTTACTGGTAACTAAGGGTGGGTTTCATTCAGAAGGGATCATCCCTATGCCCTAATTCCTTCAGAGGGTCCCTGTGGTGATAGGCACTAACACAACTTCCCTGCGAGAAGAGTCCATCAGTTGTATTTTTCATTTTAAAATGTAATTTAAAAGCACCCGTCTAAATTCACCAGCATGTGCAGCTTCTATGGTAAACAGTGTTGCTGAAACAAATTTCCTTTCAAGAGTTCACACTTAGCCGATGATTGATTATAAAGCTTGTTTGGCATGCTGTCCCGGGAGAGAGCTCTGAGCTCAGAAGATCCTCGAGCCCGGGGCTCCCTCTTGTTGCAAGGCGAGAAGGGAGTTTGAGCTCGGGTAGATCTCGAGAACTCTCCTGCTGTAGTAGCTAATGAACAGAGAGTGATTGCTCTTAAAAGATAACTACTTACTATGAGCATTTCTATGGTGCTGATTTGGATAAGTCAAATAACTTAAGGTGCATGTTCTCCCAGTGGGCAACCCGGGAGAAACCCACGTGAGCATGGGGGGAAACCCACATGAGCACGGGGAGAATGTGTAAAGTCCGCACAGAAACGTTGGGTGACTTGGTAAGGACTAGATCCAGTGACGTTCTTGCTGTGAGGCAACAGTGCTAACCACTAGGCCATCGTGCCACCCATCTAGGAAAGAAGGAGGAACTTAGGGTATTTATAGTGACTTAGGAATCGTCTGATTGGTGAATCATAAAGTGGATAATGTGGGACCAGCCGCAAACAATCATAACCACATGATCCTCTCGAAATTAGTTTATAAATAAACTTCACTTGTGTACATTATAATCAATTCGAAATCATGCATCGAATATTTAGAAAACTAAATCTTTGCATTTGCAAGTTTCATTCCCTTAAACACTACGATATGTACTTGACATGTTGTAATGTTTACGTTTGTAATATTTGATAATAATATTATTAATATTATCCTGATGAGGATTTTTATAACTCTGAATCTGCGTCTCATTTTATAGGCTGCTTCTGTCCTCTTAAGCTCACATTTTTAGCCATGCCTGCATAAAGTCTTTATGGATGAAATGCAATACGTTGTTTTTTGCCATGGCAACACGGGGTGCTGAAATACAATTGGGTAAACTGGCGTTAGGCGGAGATACACAGACTAAAACAGACATTCCGACAAGGAACGCACAAACAGTTGAAGTCTTAGTTATTAAATTCTGTTTAACTGAGAGCAGATTTCTTCAACACATTTCTAAACATGATAGGTTTAATAACTCATTTCTAATAACTGTTTATCTTTGCCATGATGACAGTAAATAATATTTGACTAGATATTTTTCAAGACACTTCACTACAGCTTAAAGTGGCATTTAAAGGTATAACTAGGTTAATAAGGTTAACTAGGCAGGTTAGGGTAATTAGGCAAGTTATTGTATAATGATGGTGCTCTTTAAACTATGAAAAAGTATATAGCTTAAAGGGGATAAAGATTTTAACCTTAAAATGGTGTTTAAAAAAATTAAACTGCCTTTATTTTAGCCAAAATAATACTAATAAGACTTTCTCCAGAGGGAAAAACATTATCTGACATATTGTGAAGATTTCCTTGCTCTGTTGAACATCATTTGGGAAATATTTCATTTTCTTGTCGGCTTAGTCCCTTTATTAATCCGGGGTCGCCACAGCGGAATGAACCGCCAACTTATCCAGCACGTTTTTACGCAGCGGATGCCCTTCCAGCTGCAACCCATCTCTGGGAAACATCCACAAACACTCATTCACACACACGCTCATACACTACGGACAATTTAGCCTACCCAATTAACTTGTACCACATGTCTTTGGACTGTGGGGGAAACCGGAGCACCCGGAGGAAACCCACGCGAACGCAGGGAGAACATGCAAACTCCACACAGAAAAGCCAACTGAGCTGAAGATCGAACCAGCGACCTTCTTGCTGTGAGGCGACAGCACTACCTACTGCGCCACTGCTTCGCCCGGAAATATTTAAAAAAGAAAACAAAATTAAAAGGGGGGCTTATAATTCTGACTTCAACTGTATTTAAAGGGGTGGTCCACTACAATATCATATTTTAAACTTTAGTTGTTGTGAAATGTAGCTGTGTGAACAAACAACATCTCTGAACATCTCTGAATGTAATACGCTCAAAGTTCGATATGTAAAAAGTCATGAATTATGAGGTTTATGTATTTGTAACCGTGTTACCTTGCGCTTGCGTTTCTTTCCTTTGTCAGACTCTGATGAGCTCTCTTCGCTGGATATGAACTCTCGACTCTTAAAGCTGTCGTTGCCTGTAGATCGCTCCTTCTCTTTCTCTCTCCCAGCCCCTGATTTCCTTTTCCTCTTTTCTTCATTCCTCCCTCTTTTCTTCTTCCTTTCCCTTTAGGAATGAATGTGGTAAAAGAGTGAGAAGTCGGTTACTCAATGCTGAGATTGTACTTTGGAACAATTCTCCATTTGGATGAACTCTCCAGTAAAATCTGATAGTTGTGAGTACTTTTTGGAGCTGCCAGATGAGCCTCCGCCACTCTCCCTATACTCTCTCATTGCTCGATCGTACTCTTTCTTTGCTTCCTCTGCTTTTCCATCCCACTCCTGATGAAAGGATTAAGACACAGTTATCAGTTTGAGTTTAACGTTGACCAGTGAATGTGGTGAAGTGTGTGTGTGTCACCTCTTTCTTGTCTTTGCCAAGTTGTTTCCACATTTCTCCGGCCTTTTTGGAGATTTCTGTGATAGAGATGCCTGGATTCTCTGATTTAATGCGGTCTCTGCTTGAGTTAAGCCAGAGCATGTAGGCACTCATTGGCCTCTTGGGGGCGCCGCTGTCTTTGACCTTTTTCTACACACAAAAAGACAAAAGCTGCTTTTTTAATGTACAATATGGTAGGGTTATCAAGTGGTTGAACTAGCTGTTGAAGTCCAAATTCAAAATATTGAAGAGGGTTTTTTCACCCGGCCCCTTCTCCTTTATCATGAGACACAGCTAGGTTGCCAGATTAAAGACACCAACAGATATTGAGCATGTCTAATGTTGTGTTCACACAAGATGTGGAACGCACGGATAAATCGCGCTATTTGCGCGTAAATAGCCGCGTGAACATTTGAGTTTACTAGCTTCATTCACGCATTAAATCCGCTTCATTCGTGCATCAAATTCACTTCAGAACTAGTGGATTCGCATGATGGGCAGGGCTTCTGTCTGCCCGGTGACTCTAGCTTTGTTGCTAAATGGCTAACATGTATTTTATTAAGAAAATAACTGTGTTTATGTGCTTTAAGAAGGCTGAAAAACAGCATCAATATGTTTAGGGCTGTGTCTGAGTCCACTAGATCCTTTCAGAGGTGCGTCCAGCTGTGTGAGCTCATAAACTCCTCCAGAAACGTAACATGGATGATAAAGGCTTTCAGCAGTGCTTCTGACTGAGCCGAGTTCAGTTTGATGAACTGTTGTCGGTGTCTGCTGGAGGATTTCACCCAGGACACCAACAACAAACACGCCCCTACAAGAGCAAGCTCCTGATTGGTTAATGCGGCGCGAATGTCCGCTTAAGTTCCGATTTTTAAACTCGAGCGATTCAAAACGTGCAAAGTGCTAATTTCGCGCCCTACCATTTGCGCATATTGCGCCACGCCATTCGCGCAATTCTCGTTATTCCCACTGTGCCTTTCGTGTGTATCGCGCCGCAGGATGTCTATTCACGCGTTTGCATTGATTTAACATGTAAATCACTCGCGCTTGATGCTCCTTCTGCGTCTGGTGTGAACACAGCATTAAGGTTAAGCCTTACACTGTATGTCGATCAGCTAATGTTTATGTCTGTAATATTTGTTCCTCTGTAATATTTGAACCTTTTATAGGCTGCTGCTGTCCTCTTAAGCTCACATTTTCAGCCATACTTTCATATATTGAGGCAGTTTTCATGGATGAAATGAAATATGCAGCGTTTTCCACCATGGCACCCGGGGTGCTGAAACATAATTGGGTAAACTGCCGGTGGGTGGAGATACACAGACTAAAACAGGCCTTCCAACAAGGAAAGCACATATTTAAAGGAGAAAATGTACCGATAAATAAATTTCTGGAGTTGCTAAATACTTCCTAGGAGGTACTTTTTTTGCAGTTTTTGTTTTTCGCAAGTGCCATTCGCACCTGCTCTTCTCACATGAATCCACCAGAGACTGCTGTTGACTGACTGACTGATTGACTGACTGATCAACTGACCTATTGTCCTCCTTTCCTAAACCCAACCAATAGTGTTTTCAAAAGCACAGATTGACCTAAACCACCCTCATCCCTAAACCCAAACGACCGTCTTTTAAAAAGCAATCTAGAATAAGAAAAGCCCACGTTTTCAGATTTTACCACATTCTCACCCTGTTATTTACTTGTTTGTTTAATTTTTGGGCTTCTGTTTTCGTCTTACCTACTTTCTGGAACCATTCTTAACCGGACTCAAACCCCTGTCTTTGTGGTCAACTCCTCCATGTGTCTCAAGTCCGTCGATGTACATGGCGAGCTACTGGACAAATTGGTAACAGCAGGAAAGCCGTCGACACGAAGGTAATTGGTCAGCTGCTAGCGCAAAAAGAAACAGCGTAATACCGCCTCGTAGCATTCGTTTTAAAGACAGAATGCAGCCATACGTATTTCTGGCTACATAACTTGCAATCTCCAGAAATGTATACGTTTTCAGAATGAGCCTATGTTGTCAACTGTATTATGGAATTTTGTATAATTTAGAAGAGTCAAAAACTTACACATACTGCACCTTTCAAGTAGGTGGGATTATTGCTATAGTTGCACAACATCTACTACCATCATCGTAAATGGAACATTAACAAACATGGAACACAAATCAACCCACAATGTAATAGCAATAGATGCTACTGATGGAATGGTGTTCTGCTGACAATTTAAATATAGTGGGTTTGGTTTCTAAACCAATTATGCTGGAATTAACGATACTTTCAGACCAGAAATCATCATATACGACACGTTTTGTCACAAAAAATAAGATATGAAACAAGGCCCAAAAAGTGAGCCCTACCCAACTGTACCCATTCAAAAATGATTGTTTACATTTCATGCTTTCCTACTCCTCACCTCTTTCTTGCGTGGTTTTCTTTCCTTGACAAATTTGACCTTCTTAGCTGATTTCTTCTTGCGGTCTTCATCACTGTCTCCTTCTTCAGCACTGCTTTCACTGGCAGAAGCCTTACTGTCATACCTGACACACACATTAGATTGTTTAACAAAGTAGATTGTTATTCATGCTCTGCAGATAGGATAGTTGTGATATGACAGTAAAGCTGTGAGCGCAACAGAACTACATCTCTGAGTTTAAACAAAAGGCTAGACGCTAGACTTTAATTGATTTTAAGTGATTTTAAGTATTAAGTAATTGAGTAATTAAGTAGTGGGAAACATTCGTACACTCTCACATTCACACACATACTTAAAGACTAAGCGCATGCCTATAGCGCATGTCTTTGGACTGTGGGGAAAACTGGAGCAACCCGGAGGAAACCCACGTAAACATGGGGTGAACATGCAAACTCCACACAAATGCCAGCTGGCGCAGCTGGGACTCGAACCAGTGACCTTCTTGCTGTGAGGCAACAGTGCTGCTAACCACTGAGCCACCGCAACAGTAATTGAAATAGTGGTAAATGTGAAAAGTAAAGCTTCCTACTCTTCTGCTATGTCCTCATCTTCTTCACCAGGATTAAACGATTCATCTGAAAACAGAAAAGTCCATTCAAATTTAAATGACATGTTGTGTTTATCGTGTTATATTAGTTATTATTTTATCAATATAGTTCACCCCAAAATAAAACTTAACAGGATAACAGGATATCACAGTATCCAATTAATGCAGTACTGTGCAGCCCTACCCTAGTCATATGCAAAAAAAAACATTAGCTTGCCATCTGATTGGCTCATAGAGCTGTCACTCACCACTCTCGCCCTCCGAGTCATCGCTGTCATTGCCCTCTTCGCGGATCTTGCCCTCTTCTTTCATACGCTCCAGATATGCATCGTGCTGGTCTTCGTCAGAGTCACTGTACATGTCATCGTTACCTTTCATACCCTGACAAAAGCACAAAGTCATATTAATGGAATATCAACATCACAACAAAGCAAAGTTAGCATCTGTAACAGTGCAGACAAAGGAAAGCATTTTTCAAGCAAATATTTCAAGATTTCCTTTTTCCTTACTGGCATTTTTTACTCTCTCTCTCTCACACACACACAAACACACACGCAAATGTTCGTATAAGCAATCAGTGTTAACTCATTCAAAAGCACTCCCCTGAGCTACACTGTGTTCATCGCACACAGAACTGTCTGGCACACAAAAGCTTTTCTCCTAAAGTGACCACAGATTTCAGGGGAAACACTTTTGTAATCCTAATGAAAGTCTCTCATGTAGAAATCTGATACATGGAAACATATGAACAAATTACAAATATGACATACAGTGCTCAGTGTATATGAGTACACACCCCGTAACAAATCTCTCTCTTAAATTAATATTTTATATAAGATGCTATACAGTGTTATATTTATGCATATACATTAGATTAGTCAGTGCTGAAGCCAAATCTAAATATTAATTTACAATCACGAAAGGCAGAGGGTTGTTGAAAAACTTTCAGAGAGATTTCAGCTGCTGTGTGGGCTTTCACTGCCTTTCTACACCTCCCATTCTCTTATGCGTTCAGTACTTTTTTCCTGTGTCATTTCACTTTATTATGCATAACTTTATTTTTAAACTGATTCGATTTGTTTTTTTTGGTTCGATGGATTTCTTTGGTTGTTATCAAAATCTGGCGAAAACTTTATTAGGTACACCTCTCTAACTGCTTGTTAACGCAAATTTCTAATCAGCCAATCACATGGCAGCAACTCAGTGCATTTGGGCATGTAGACATGGTCAAGACGATCTGCTGCAGTTCAAACCGAGCATCAGAATGTGGAAGAAAGGGGATTTAAGTGACTTTAAATGTGGCATGGTTGTTGATGCCAGACGGGCTGGTCTGAGTATTTCATAAACTGCTGATCAACTGGGATTTTCACGCACAACTATCTCTCGGGTTTACAGAGAATGGTCTGAAAAAGAGAAAATATCCAGTGAGCTGCAGTTCTGTGAGCACAAATGCCTTGTTGATACAAGAGGTCAGAGGAGAATGGCCAGACTGATAGAAAAGCAACAGTAACTCAAATAACCACTTATTACAACCGAGGTCTGCAGAAGAGCATCTCTGAAAGCACAACACGACCAACCTTGAGGCAGATGGGCTACAGCAGCAGAAGACCACACCGGGTGCCACTCCTGTCAGCTAAGAACAGGAAACTGAGGCTACAATTGGCTCAGGCTCATCAAAAATGGGCAATAGAAGATAAGAAAAACGTTGCCTGGTCTAATGAGTCTCAATGTCTGCTGCAACATTCGGATGGTAGGGTCAGAATTTGGCATCAACAACATGAAAGCATGGATCCATCCTGCCTTGTATCAACAGTTCAGGCTGTTGCTGGTGGTGTAATGGTGTGGGGGATATTTTCTTGGCACACTTTGAGCCCTTTAGTACCAATTGAGCATCATGTCAACACCACAGCCTACCCGAGTATTGTTGCTGACCATGTTCATCCCTTTATGACCACAGTGTACTGATCTTCTAATGGCTACTTGCAGCAGGATAATGTTTCATGTCATAAAGTGCGACTCATCTCAGACTGGTTTCTTGAACATGACAATGAGTTCACTGGACTCTAATGGCCTCCACAGTCACCAGAACTCAATCCAATAGAGCACCTATGGAATGTGGTGGAACAGAAGATTTGCATCATGGATGTGCAGCCGACAAATCTGCAGAAACTGCATGATGCTATCATGCCAGTATGGAGCAAAATCTCTGAGGAATATTTTCAGTACCCACATTTACATTCCAAACATTCCACACTGTCATTTTTTTTTGACAAGAAAAAAAGGAGTGCAGTGCGCTTTTTTATGTCCCTAGGCAATGACTAACTATGCTGGGTATTGTGCGAGAGTGTTGCTATCGACATTGGTTTAATTTTAATACTTAATAATATTGTGGTAATCAAGATTTGTAAAGTCATACAGCTCCGGATAACTCAAAACAGCAACCACAAGTCTTTCCTCCATCTTCAAAAGTCTTTTTTGTTGTGTTCGGTGTAATCGCAGTTCTAAAGGCAAAAGGGGTCCAACCCGGTACTAGTAAGGTGTACCTAATAAAGTGGCCGGTGAGCGTACAGTATGAATACTATGAATACTGTACTTATATATATATATATATAAGCAGCCATTATTGCAATATTTCTAAATATATCCTGCGTATATGAAATATATTTTAAAAATGTGTGTAACTTGCGTTTATCACATATATCAGATTACTACATGAGCTGAGTGATCCAAACACAGTGATCTGCTTCTAAAATCATTATCAGTGAGCATTTCCACCTTCTGATCTGCTTATAGCCATCAAAGATAAACGAGAACACATTTGACACTCGAGTTGTGATTAAGACACGCAAACAAACACCATGCAAGCAAGTTAAAGAAGGACCCACACCAGACCAAACCAAAACAAACCGCACGGCAATACCAACCTTTTTCTACATCAACACAATATAGACACATAGCACAAACACAAAGAGTCATGTAAGTGTCTTTCCACTGTAAGATGGGTACATAAGGACGACCGGCAGGATGAATATTATGTGCTGGTTGGCAAGATGAATAAAGGATTGAAGGTGTACCTCTTTGAAGCCTCGGTTCTTTATGCTTAGCTTCTTAGCATTGACAAAGTCGAAGAGCTTCCCATATTCCTCCCTGTAAAAGACAGAAGAGTCAAACTGAACAAATAGAAGGTAAAAGCAAAGTCAAAGAGGTTAAAGGGGATAGTTCACTCAAAAATGAAGACTTTTTCAACAGTATAAGATTTTTTTAGCTGAAAAATGGTCCCTTTGATTCATATTTCTTTATTTTCATTGTCAGAAGCTGTTGACTTGATTTTTATGAACATAAAAAACAATCTGCATATATTATACAAATTTGATATAATTAACAGATATCACCCATTATAAAACAGATTGTAAGTAAATAACTAATGTTCTCCACTGCTGGAGAAATCATAAATGCTCAGAGGAGTCTGTGCTCACCTCTATAAACATTCTGATCATTGAAGAAAAAATATTCAACTAGTACGAATGCATGGTTTTTTATTAAAAATAATCCAGGGCTAAGCATAAAATGTTTGCATGTTTACATATAATAAGAGTCTTAAGTTTACAACATTTTTACATTTATTTGACATCTGTGCGCTTGTTTTACTTTGTCATAATTCTATAAAGCATGTGTTGTTAATAAAAGAAATGCATCTTATAACTTTTTGGTGCCTTTTTCCCCTTTATTTACAAAAATTGTGGATGGTTTGCTTATGATATATCCAAGAATTGCTGATATCATGATATATATCAGGGGTGGCCAACCCTGTTCCTGGAGAGCCACCTTCCTGCAGATTTCAGTTGCAACCCAGATCAAACACACCTGAACCAATTAATTAGGACCTGAACACCACGTGATAATTACAGGCAGGTGTGTTTGATATAGTCTTTTGTTAACTTATCGTGTTTATTGTGAAATTCGATGCGTATGTTTTAACAAACACATGTAGACTGCAGAATTGTATCAAATCACTCAGTTCAACTGTTCATGCAGACGTTGATGTTAATTCCTGGCAGTGTTTTCTTTGAATTTAGCTTAGATCCAACCCGATAAATATCTATCACTCTCTTTTGTCAAGTTTAATCATAATTTAGTTTTTATCCACAACAGAAATGAAGAACAAAATAGGTTAACATTACTCGGATTGGGTTTTATATTTGTCCGTGTTCGCATACATTATGCTCTGTCTGTGTGTCTGTAAAGGGAGCACAAGCTTATTAATATTCATGACATGAACCATATATGGTCAATCATGGACCTTCTGATTCTATGGGTACTTTATAGAGTATTAAATGACCTTATAAAACAGTTTCTGGAGATTTTTTTAAACCCAATATGTAGATATCAGAGAATAATTTAACTAATTAAACTAATGCAGTATATGGCATAGCCGTGAGCTAGCTCTCTGCAACTTTCACATGGTCGCCCACTGAAGCTAAGCAGGGCTGCAACCTGTGCTCTGTGTGGGTCCCAATGCCCCAGTATAGTGACAGGGATAGTGAGCGGTGTCTTTCGGATGAGACATTAAACCAAGGTCCTGACTCTCTGTGGTCATTAAAAATCCCAGGATGTCCGTTAAAAAAGTGTAGGGGTTTAACCCCAGCATCCTGGCCAAATTTGCCTACTGGCCTCTGTCCATAATGGCCTCCTAAATCATCCCCATACCATAAATGGCTTCATCACTCTGTCTCCTTTCCACCAATCAGCTGGTATGTGGTGTGTGCTCTGGCGCGATATGGCTGCCATCCAGGTGAATGCTGCACACTGGTGGTGGATGAGGAGATTCCCCCCAATGTGTAAAGGGTTTTGAGTCTCCAGAAAAGCGCTATATAAATGTAAAGAATTATTATTATTATTATTATTATTATTATTATTATTATTATTATTATATTAATATTTTAAGGCCCATTTACACAAAACATTTCTTTGTGTCTAAAAATGTGCTCAAAAGTAGTAGAAGTAGTTTTTTTTTTAAATTCCGCCATGTTGCTGTCAAATAAAACAGCCGTCTCCCAACTTGCTAATGTAAACAAGACACTTGCCCCGCCTCCAACACCTTCTGATTGGCCCACAATCAGAAGACTTTGAAGTAAATTTATGTAAAACTTTAAATTCTTAAAAAACTTGACATGGCGTCTTAAAGTCTATGTACACATCAAGCACATATTACATAGAAAGACAATGGAAAAGTTGCACACTGGAATATAAAAAACGTCTTCTGTGTGAACGGTCCCTTAAAAGTTTTCCGGACACATTGTTTCTGGCACATTAGTGTGATGTGATTAACTGATGCCTTGCTGTATTGATTCAGTCATAATGTGCACCCAACAGAAAATACAATAATGTCCATAAAGCAGCTTAGTTTTTGCCCCCTCAACGTGCAGATGGGGGTCAGGTCACTAAAAGAGAGGGGCTCTTTTACACCAGTGTTAAGACAAAAACAGAGAGAATGACCACAAAGAGCAGGCATTGATTTTCAATGGCAGATGGGGGTTAAGTGCTCAATGACATAATAGCTGGAAGTGCCTGGAAAAGGGTATGAACAATGCTCTTTTCATTACTGCTGTGATCTAGTTCCCTTCAAAGTGATGTTCCCGACAGCCAGACAAGAGTATCATCGGGGGTTCTGGGTACCTCTCGATGCTGCTGAAGGTGTACTGATTGCCTTGCTTGGTCTCGATCTCGAAATCGAAGGAGCGGGTCGTGGTGGTCCCGCGGGCGAAGTTCACACAGGCGATCTCCTCAAAACGCAGGTGCACTGGGGGCTTGTGCACGTAGATGAAACCTCTTTCCAGGGGATACAGCAGCCCTGAACTGGCCTTATAGGAGCAGGTTATACACTGAGCTCCTGAGTGACTACAGAGAACAGAGAGAGACAGGAAATTAGACACTTTTATTACAATAAATTACCACATTATCAAGTAATTGTTCAGTATGAATGCAAACACTATATATATATATATATATATATATATATATATATATATATATATATATATATATGTATGTATATATATGTCAGTGTTGAATGCAAATGTCATTGAGTGTTTTCAGTGTTTTACTGTATCGTTTTCTACAGTGTAAATATGCGTTTTACCCTTGGAAATTTCCAGGCACTGTGATCTTCCTGTTGACCAAGGCTTTCATGACCCTGCTGACCATCTCATAGAGAGAGCCGGACATGTTTTTATTAAGTTTTCCTTCAAAACGCCTCTCCACCTCGTCCCTGCACAACATAAGAGAACGATATTGCTGGATGGCAACCACTGCACACAACACAACACGACACGATAGAAACATTTAAATACCAGCCATTCTTTCAAATACCAGCCACTGCACTCACAATAAAATGGTAAGAGTTATAAACTAATTAATACACTTTAAACCTCTTTAACATTATTAACAGGCTACTGAGTGACGGATGTTGTTTTTTTGCACAGTTCACACACATTTCAGAGTCATAGTCCTAACTTTTATTTTCAAACCGATTGCTAGTTATTTAATTTTTTACATCTGAGATTAACTATTTGCTACTGCCTTAAGTAGTATGTCACGTAAAATGGTGTTCAAACTCACATTAACACTGAATAAAGCACATAGTCTGATTGTTGTTTATTCATATATTTTCTTTTCAGCTTAGTTCCTTTATTAATCCGGGGTTGCCACAGCGGAATGAACCGCCAACTTATCCAACATATTTTTACGCAGCAGGTGCCCTTTCAGCCACAACCCATCTCTGGGAAACATCCACACACACTCATTCACTATGGACAATTTAGCTCACCCAATTCGCCTGTACCGCATGTCTTTTGGACTGTGGGGGAAATCGGAGCTCCCGGAGGAAACCCACGCGAATGCAGGGAGAACATGCAAACTCCACACAGAAATGCCAACTGACCCAGCCGAGGCTCGAACCAGGGACCTTCTTGCTGTGAGGCACTACCTAGTGCGCCACAGCTTCGCCATTGTTGTTTATATAAAACATTTCTATAAAGCATTGTGGATGGTTAGGACAAAAGGTCAGACTTTAGTTTGATGGTGCTTTTGTTCAATGTAAGTTACATTGTATCTACATGCTAACTAATTTTCATTAGATTATAAGACCATTAGGTTGGGGTTAGGGTTGGTGATAGAGATAGTGTGAGTTGGCATGTAATTGCAAATTTTCTTATAGTATGGTAAATGTCTGTTGAAGGAGCATTTCAACAGATATTAAGCAGACAGTCTACTTATACTCAAACTGACCATCAAAATAAAAAGCTATCGAACAAAAATGTGTAATAAAGGACACCATTATGCAAAAAAATTGAGTTGTGAATCTAACCAGCTTCTAATGGTAAAAAGTAATAATATTTTTATAATCACACTTGATAAAAACAATCTAATGAGACACTTTTATTGACATTCTCCCTTTGTAAATGTCTTCAGAGGGAAAAAGCCCCGCCTATTGGTGAAGAACTCTCCCTCATTGGCATAGGGGCTTAGTCTTTATTTTGAATATGCCACTATGCTGACTCACAGCCATTTGTAGCTCCGCCCTATTTTGAAAAGATCTCATTTGAATTTAAAGGGTCACGAAACACCAAAACACATTTTTTGAGCTGTTGACAGTCGTATATGTGTCCCACACTGCTAAAAACACTATTAGGACACCTATATTTCACTAAAAAGTGTAAATTGGTTGTTTTTGCGTTATTTCAAGCAAATTCGTACTTCCGGTTTGAAACGAATTTTTGAAGCCGCGTCACGGTCATGACATAATAGCGTGTATTGCAGCGTGCAGACTGGGCGTCTGTGCCAGAGTGTGTCTTATTACGTCTTACAGTGTGATGCATTAATGCATGAGTAAAGCTTGGTTCAAACCAATCAGCGCGCTCTATTGTGCAACTTCATTAATATTCATTACTGTCACATGAAGAGATGCCACGTTGTGTTGGCAAAACAAGCGTGAAGTGTTGCTTTTATTGTTTGCTGCAGTTAAGTTTCGTTTTCATTTTCTCTCTGTGAGAGCTCATCTGGAGTCACGTGAGGATTAACAGTGTACGCGACGCTCGACAACAATAGCTTACATGTCTAAGGAGGATTATTGTTTACCTGAGAGCTGTTCTCATCTGCAAACGCAGAGATCCGGATTTGCTTGTAGTATTCTCTTAATAAAGACGCGGCTCTAGTTGCTGGTGATTGTCCTCTATAGATTTGGTAAGTGAGCGACCAGTGCTCTTTGTTTATTCAGTTTATTCGTATCGAACTAAGTTAACTATTGCACCGAGTGTAAACACGTTAGCACCACAACCAAACTTTAACCTCGTGTAGGGTTTTTACCGCATTTAGTGACCGGAATAACACGCGCAGCTTTCTGACGCTACCTGCCGTGTGCATCTAAGTTTCCGGGAAATGCGGAGGTTTTTTTTCTCTCATTCGGAGTGCGGTATCAAACATTGCATGGAAAATACACGCTTAGAGCAGTTCCTCGAATCAAATATCTCATTTGTCGGGAGGGGCATGAATAAATCCCTGAATTAAAGAGCCAAACTGCATTTAAAGTCCACCATTTAATAATTTGGCAAATAATTCCACTACAGATGTCCATGTAGGTTAAACACCATCACTTACTACTGTGTGTGTGTGTGTGTGTATTATGACTCTGAAGCTCGCGCGTGCCCAAATAGACACTCCCACACCATCCCACTTTTCTTCCTCCGACACTCCCCCCTAAACAGAGCTGGACACGCCCACTTTTCTGACTTTTTCCAAAGTAGAGGTGTGAAAACACCCTGCTGAAACGAGGGGGTTTCATGGCCCTTTAAAGTGTCACCAAAAAGACACAATTTGGATCAAAAAGGTAAAAAAAAAAAGTCAAAAAGAGACAGTTTCAAAGAGTTATGAAACATTATTTGTGAGGTCTCTTGAGCTAAAACTTCACATACACGCTCTAGGGACATCAGAGACTTATTTTTACATCTTGTATAAAGAGGCATAATAGATGCCTTTTATCTTTATTTACATGTCGCAGCATCACGCCGCATCGCTTGTAATTAGGACACATTGCAATTCCTTTAACCTCAGGTTGATTTAAGCTAATATTCTTCGTAAATAATAATACATTTTTGGTCATCTGCTTTTAATACTGTTAGTAAAATGTAAATAGCGGACTTCTGACATCTTTCACCAGTGTCTCTCAATCTCTTTCAGGTTTTACTCACTCATTCATGTTGAGTGTGAGGCTGATGGTTTCTTCCTTGGAGAACAGAAGAATGAGAAAGTGATAGCGTGTTTGACCCTGTTTAATAGGGGGGTCCAGACTGATCTGAAACAGAAGATGGCCTTATAACCATGACATGGCATGAATATGAAGGAGATTATATCTATTCTTATGATCACTGTCATTGAGTGCCATTTGCTCAGCTATGTCGTGTTAAAAGCAATGATGACATTGTTTGAGATGTCTTTGCTAAAGTACAAATGAAATCAAAACTAACCAGATGATTTTAATAGCTCATTTTGCCATTTTGAAAAGTTCATCTGTGCATGTCATTAAGAAAAAATAAAGTTTGCTCTTGTAATCTTTAATTGAAATATGAAAGCACACTTCCTGTTTGTTTTCAGTTAAATTTTCACATTAAGTCTATCTGAGATAATGGGCGTGGCTAACATATTTAACCACACCCCTCCAACTGTCAGTTTTGACAACAGAAATGGTGAGGAGGAGGAGTCTGTTAGGTTGTAATAACAATCCTAAAATTTTCCTGATGTTTGTGAATGAAATGCCTACTTTACTACATCCAATCAGCTCGCAGTAGAAAAAACAAGCCACACCCACTGTTTTCTTATTTAATATTCTCGAAGAACAACGTCACAATACAAAAAAAAACATGGTCGCAGCTTCAGGTTCATGCAGACTTTAAGGCCAGTTGACATAAATATATTCAAATTTTTATGTCATCAAACTTGACTATTATTAAGACAACATAACCAGTCATAAATCCGTCATAAACATGATTGTCATGAGGCAATGAATTGACACCAACAAGTTGTGACACATTTGACTTAGTCAAGTTGTCATAACAAAGACATATCAAATAATGTCATCTTTGAATTAAAAATGACATAAAGGAGCCAATGACACTTCACAACTATTGTGATAAACGTAAATAATATGCATAAAATCACTTTTATATTTACGACACGTGTCATGTCACGATTATAACCGTACGCTCACACCGAAAGTGGCGAGAGCGTCAAAGTAGCTAGAGGTCATTCGTTTTCAATGAGAGCCAAGATAAGTGGCAAGGAGCAGCGCAGCGCATCTTCGCCGGTGTGGGCGTCGAGAAGAGTTGAAATCAAGTCAACTCTATGGTAATGAGGTATGACGCGGTTTGGCGGCAAGCAATCAGAATGAAAAATCCACCGCTTGAGAGGAGTTCAGAGAACACAGACCTGTGAACTTTGGTTTTGACCAAAGTTGTTCCCAAGGGTTTGATCATTGCGGTTGCGGATTTTCAATTATTTACAGTGTTTTCTTACAGAAACATACATTAAATAAGTTACTGGCGAGTTACTAATGTGCATTCATGTTATAGATATTTATCTTTAAAAAAGCAGGAATCTCATGCGACAGTACAAAACAGTACTGCTGCTTCAGGATATTTCAGACATATAGACACAATGGATAATTAAGTGGAGCAAAGCCACATCACATGTAACTTGATCTTCCATGGTTAAATAAATTTAAAAAGAACTGCGCAACAATTTCCCGCTAGAAAGCATGTTTTATGCAGGAATGTAACTGATATAATCTTGCAGCGGCCCCTTTAAATATCAGATCAATGTTTTGAATTTTGACACTCTCGCCGCCAGAGCTGAAGGCAGACAGCGTTGTCGCTAGGGCAGCCAGAGTGACCTTAGACGCTCTCACCGCTTTTGGGGTGATCGCACAATTAGGGTGTCATGACAGTCTTATGAACACCTCTTCAAGTAGTTACCACCCTGTCTTACTATATATATTGACAACACACAACAAAAATAAATGAATGCTATGATAAAGCTGTTTAATACTAGCTAGAAAAAATGGATCCAGATCCATCAAATTTGTATAGTTTTAAATTTGTGAACACAAAAAAATATGATATGACAATTAGCATATCACAGTGAGCATAAAAAATACATGTAATAGCCATAATGCAGGGAGTTGTGCAATAATAATCACAACCGCAATAATAAAAAGGGCTATCTTTGAAAGAATGAAAGAAATATAAATTATGAAAGAAATATAATAAAAAATAATATAAATTAAGAAGATTTTTTTAATGTATCAAAGGTTAAGTAAAGGTAATATTAATGGTTCCAGATCCAAATAAAAGATTGCTTTATAGACCATGATCCTCCACTCACCACGAAGAACATTTGCCGCTGGTCTTTATGAGGCAACAGGAAGAGGCGGAGCACTGTGGTGTACGGGATCTTGTAGTCAAATGTCTTACCGTGTAGATGAAGGAATGTTGGATAAATACGGATATCGTACCTAAAGAGAGAGCAAGAAAAATCAAATCACACAATGCCAGTTCACACCTTTGACATTTTTATGTTAAATAAACAACCAAAAAGTATGATGAGAGTATCCAGATGTGTGTATGTATGTACCTGCCCCTAGGCGTGAGGCACTGCAGCTCTCTGAAGATACAAACAGCATCTCCTGTGGCCTGGATGACATCTGCCTTCGACAGCACATTCTGAGCAAATGCCTGAAACATAACGGTTTTCATTACTTCTCAGATTAAGCGGGATTTACAGATATAAATATTGTACAGTAGGACTACAAGAAGAGGGACAGAGGTTTTACGCAAATGTTTAGACGTGTCCCATTGCTTGAAGTCTTTTCTCTTATAACAGGCATCACCAAACTTGTTCCTGAAGGGCCGGTGTCCTACAGATTTTAGCTCCGACCCTAATCAAACACACCTGAACAAGCTAATCAAGGTCTTATTAGGTATACTTGAAACACCTAGGCAGGTGTGTAGAGGCAAGTTGGAGCTAAACCCTGCAGGGCACCGGACCTCCAGGAACGAGATTGGTGACCCCTGCCTTATAACATTTCGTCACCTTGGAATTGTAAGATTCTATCTGCGTTCTAATGATTTTGAGATATTGAGCTTCGAAGTTTTCGCATTTCATATAGGAAACAATATGCATGTAACAGTTCTCTTTCTTACATTAACATGACAGAGAGCCTAAATGTACTCTAAATGTAAAATATCAAAATTGTCTTAAAAAAAAAACTGGGTGAATGCAGATGCAGAACCTTGTAATTCTAAAAAGTCTTATTCTGCTTAGAATTATAAGGTTCTATCTAGCAGATCAATAATTGAAGCATTGCTTTTCAAAAATACGATCAGTCTGCTTATTAATTTAAAAAATAAAAACTGGTATGTTTTATTAAGTTGTTGTTATATTTTTGCTTTCTATGACTTTATTTAATGTTTTAGGATGAAACTTGTTTCTTGTTCAAATGAACCATACAAGGCTGTGCTAAATATTTTGTCCAGTGCAGCTGTTAATTGTACACTAAGAATTGCTAGGTTATTTACACCCAAACTGGGTAAAATATGGACTAACTCAAGCATTGGGTTTAATTTAGTCTTTATTTATTTAATTAAAAAATTAACTCTGCAGTTGGTTTAGTCCATATTACACCCAGCATAAGGCTGAAATACCCCTAGCATTTTTAAGAGTAAATGTAATTAATATGGTAATATTTATTGAATATATGCTTTATAAAAATAATTGAATTATATTTATTGAATTATATGCCGCATTAATTAAATTATCTAATATTTGCCCTTCGAGGTTTAAGATTAAATTTAAAGACTCTAAAAAAACGCAGACAATGAGTGAATGAGTTTTAATAAACACTGAAAAATGTTTCACTGACAATATATACACAAATAAAAATATTTCACATTTAATATATTACATTTTTTAAATAACTGTTTCTTTTTCAACAATGTAAAATTGAACCTGCTTCTAAATCATCACATTTACACACATCTTTTCAGTTTCAGGTTTCTTTTTAATTTTGTGAGGTGCGGCATAATTTAGTCGACTTGTATTGTGTTTCCTTCTGGTCTTTCCAGCTGTCGACAGAGCAATCTGGCGAAATGACAAAGAAAGCTGTTCCTGATTAGTCCTCGTGGGTGCATAAGAATGGCTCACAGAAAAAAACTTATAAAGCCAAGACAGAGTTCGACTTTGTAGTTTTGTAAATAAAACCTCTTCAAATGTAAGCAACTAAAAAAACATTCCATAATGTAAATAAGTTGTCATTTAATAAGAATATGTGAATAACTCAATTTTGACAAAAATGTCAGATAGAATCTTATAACTCTAAAGTGACAATATTTTAATGATCATTCAAAAGCTTTAAAAATAAATATCCTTTATGAAATCATTACTTTTGTATATGCCACATTTAAAGCTTTTAGATTGTCCCAACCAACCCCCCAGTAGGTGTCAATCTTCATATTACAAAATGCACTAGACTATTTTATAATCTTAAAATTTATTTAATCTTGAAAAAGGACATAAACATGCATTTGACAATCAGGACTCCATATTTAGTGTCTGTTTTGTAATAGACGTACTAAATGCTTTGACAGAAACTGATTGATTTGTGACACAGAAATGAATTTCAGTATCACCTGCTGTGTACTTTTATGTAACTGCAACTTTATTTTTAACTACAAGTTTTAGAACATACCTTAATTAGACATGGCCATTTAAGTTGGGATAGAGCCAATAAATGAATAAACAAAATAAAAAAAAAAGATATAATGAACTAATTAAAATAAATAAATACAACTCAGTTGATATGTATTGTATTACAGTTGAAGTCAGAATTTTTTGCCCCCCTGAATTATTAGACAGCTTGTTTTTTCCCCCCCCAACTTCTGTTTAACGGAGAGAAGATTTTTTTTCAACACATTTCTAGTCATAATAGTTTTAATAACTCATTTCTAATAACTGATTTATTTTATCTTTGCCATGATGACAGTAAATAATATTTTACTAGATATTTTTCAAGACACTTCTATTCAGCTTAAAGTGACATTTAAACGCTCGACTAGGTTAATTAGGTTAACTAGACAGGTTAGGGTAATTAGGCAAGTTATTGTATAACGATGGTTTGTTCTGTTGACTATTGGGAAAAAAATTGCTTAAAGGAGCTAATAATTTTGTCCCTGAAATGGTCTTTAAAAAATTAAAAACTGCTTTTATTGTAGGCAAAATAATACTAATAAGACTTTATCCAGAATAAATAATATTATCAGACATACTGTGAAAATTTCTTTGCTCTGTTAAACATCATTTAGGAAATATGTAAAAAAGAAGAAAAACTAATTCAAAGGGGGGCTAATCTGACTTCAACTTTAATTCTTAGTTATAATTAAAAATGTAGTATTTATTTATTTTTCATGTTTTTATTTTGTCATTTTATATATTGTTTAATTTTTTATCCGTCTAACGGTATATTGAGTAAAAATTATATTTTCCAAATAATATTTCACTAAATGTACGCAAATATTACTTGCATCTTTATAAATGAAATCTTCATACAAGGACCCAATGGTGATGGTTATATTTGGGCATCTCTAATTTTAAGACTAAAAAAGGCTCCTGCTTTAGGGGAATTGATCTCTTGGTAACCTGCGCCATCTGCTGGTCAGTGTTAGACTGGGATGAACATGCACACTCTTACCTCTACCGGGTCTGAACCCTCGTCCCCTGTGGTGGGTGGGACGTAGAAGCGCACCTCCATGAGAGACACCTCTGTGTCATCATTCTGATGAAACTCCACTGTCACCTCATTCTTACCCGTCGTACACTGGGATACACTGGAGAGAGGAATCTCAAATGTAGGGCTGTCATTCACGTCAAAGGAAAGCAACGGCCCTGAAAATACACAGGAGAGCAGTTTAACACATAGATGAGGCCGATTTTTTAAGCTGAGTTTAATAAAATACAAAGCTTGAACATGGTTAGTTATTAACAGTGTTTCATTGTTCGGCCCTGGGGTAACGTTCAGTGCTTGGCTGTATCAGAAGGAAGTAGACCTGTGCCAAATGACGACAGTATATAAATTTTTCTGCTTTAGCAACCCTGACAGAGTTACAGAGGGACAGAGAGCAGCCTTTACTGTTTCTATATAAAGTATTTCATTATATATTGTGGTCAACAGGTCAACAACTTAAAAATGTACCAAACTATGCTTTAAAAATGTATCATTACTATTATAATTGACACACACACACACACACATACATACATATAAATATATATATAGAAATATAGAAATAAATTTTTACTTGCATAGAGCTTGATACTGTAAGCCTCTTTTACTATTTGTTGCATTATAATGAATAAATAAATAATGAATAAATAGGTGGCGCAGTGGGTAGTGCTGTCGCCTCACAGCAAGAAAATCACTGGTTCGACAAACGACTGGGTCAGTTGGAATTTCTGTGTGGAGTTTGCATGTTCACATGGGTTTCTTCCGGGGTACTCTGGTTTCCCCCACAGTCCAGACTCCAAAGACATGCGGTACAGGTGAAATGAATAAGCTAAATTGGCCATAGTGTATGGGTGTGAATAAGAGTGTATGGGTGTTTCCCAATGTTGGGTTGCAGGTGGAAGGGCATCCACCGCATAAAACATATGCTGGATAAGTTGGTGGTTCATTCCACTGTGGCGACCCCAGATTAATAAAAGGACCAAGTCAAAAAAGAAAATGAATAAATGAGCCGATATATCCACTGTCCCATTAAGCAGGGTCTAAAATGAAAACATTTTTGAAAGCAAGGAAAAAACAACAACTATAAATCTAAGCTTTGTAATGGCACTGTTGTTATTAATAATGTAATTACGTTTATTTACACAATGTATATTTATTAAAATTATATTAATTGTATTATTATAAAAATAATATTACTGTTATATACTGTGCAATAGTATCACAATAATATATATTTTATGGACTTATTACATTTTTATAATTAATTGAAAAAAATCTAAAGCAAATTGTAATTACAATTGAAAGTAAAATGCTACACAGAATGCATTGCTTATTTTGTCTTACAATAAAGTCAGCTGGCGAAAAGGCGAGGCGAGAACATCTTGTAAGACATCTTGTATGTCCTGCTCTTAGTGCTCCAACAGCCTGAGTATTTACAACATTTACACTACAACATTATGTATTTACCTTGAATTAGCTACATCATGTTTAATAATATGTATTTTTGTATTTATTACATTTTTATAATTAGTTAAAAAAATCAAACATTTTAATTACAATTACCGATTCACATCACCATACATAACATACAAGAAACCTATTTTTATAGTGTTATTTTGCTTTTGATTATTAAAAAGCTTTAAAGATATGTTCATCGAAAGGTTCTTTGATATGGAGCGAATAATATGCCAAAACAATCTGAATTTTCTTCACTGTTGATGACCCCTGACCTACTTTTTGCTAAATCTGAATTTCACAATCTGATTTTCTGGTTTTAAAATTTAAAATATTGAATTCGATGCTCTGAATTTCTTCATCTTGAAAACTCAAAACTGTATTTTCACAAGCTCAATATCTGCAATCTATAAATTTAGAACGAAAAAATCTGAAGTTTGAAAATACGTCAATAGAAATCTGAAAAAATTCAGTTGTCTTAAATTTCAGATGTTCAATATTCAAGTTAAGAAATTCAAATTCAAACAGTTTAATAGCATTTAATATTAAATTTTATTAAATTACAATTGCTATTGTGATTCAAATTTGCACAATTTAAATTCAGATTGTTTTTCCATATTATTTGCTCCATACTTTTGGAAGACAAACATACTAAAAAACAGTGTTTAAGGTCACTACTGTCACAATCACCAGCGATCTAGACCAACGAATCCTGTCATGCACCTCACACACACCTGTTCCAGTTCTCTGTTGATTACACACACACACACACACACACACACACACTTTTTTGAGTCTTGTTTATCTGTGAGCATTACGACGTGTTTTCTCCCTGTTTAGCCTAGCTGTGTTTTAACCCTTTGTCTCTTTGTTTTGATTCTTTGCTGCTTGTTCCGACCATTCGCCTGTTCTATGACCACGACTCTGGATTCTCTGTATGTATCTGTTTTACCCTGTTGACTGTTGCCTGCCTGACCATTCTAGTAACAAACCTGTTTGTTAAAACAGAGCAATGAAATTTTCACAGTATGTCTGATAATGTTTTCTTCTGGAGAAAATCTTATTTGTTGTATTTTGGCTAGAAGAAAAGCAGTTTTACATTTTTTAAAAACACTTCAAAGACAAAGTTATTAGCCCCTTTAAGCTATTTGTGTCCGATGGTCTACAGAACAAACCATCACTATACAATAACTTGCCTAATTACCCTAACCTGCCTAGTTAACCTAATTGACCTAGTTAAGCCTTTAAATGTCACTTTAAGCTGTATAGAAGTGTCTTACAAATATCTAGTTAAATATTATTTACTGGCATCATGGTAAAGATAAAATAAATCAGTTATTAGAAATGAGTTATTAAAACTATTATGTTTAGAAATGTGTTGAGAAAATCTCTCTGTTAAACAGAAATTGGGGGAAAAAATAAACAGGGGGGCTAATAATTCAGAATGGCTAATAATTCTGACTTTAACTGAATATCTCAGACAAAAAGCGTTGCAACAGGAATGCACTGACCATTAAATTTAGCAGTGCCCCAATTCCAGCCCTTAACACACATGTCTTTCTCTGTTAGCTCCACTTTGTAGTTGTCTTTGAAGTATTCTGAGATCTTCTCAAGGTCCTGCGCAAAAAGAAACGGATGAAAATTTAAGACCTGGAATGAAACAGCGGATCAAACTGAGTGATCAATTGATCTGTAATTTGCATCTCAGACTCACTGCGTCTTTAAAGCCATCATATTTGTAGATGTGGCCAGTGCTGGTCCATAGTTTGATGCCGTGACCCAGACAGACTCTCCTCCACTGGGCCTGAGTGAGTTCAGGGACCGGAATAGTGTCCACCTTCCCGGTCTTACTGTTTTTATACACCACTGTCTGCTTACTGAAGCGCAGGCGGCCGTCATTCTACAAGAAAAGACAGTCGGTCAACTTTATTGAGAGTTTGATAGAAAAACACCTCAAGTTAGAGAACAAAACCTTTTTTAACTCACCCATGAGCCCTTGACCTCCTGATAAATTTCATTGAACTCCAAAGTGTCACTCATGTCAGAGTAGACAGAATGGACCTGTGACGTTTAAAAGCTGCGACAGTTATTAATATACATTATACATTATACAATTTCCACTGCAAATGGCAATATGAATGTGTTATGAATGATAGAAAACTCCCAGTTTACTCTGGTGTCAACAGTAGACTTTTATTATAGGTTGTTTTGGATGTAAAAATCTAGCTTTGTGCTTTAAGAAAAGCTTTTGCGAGTGTTATTATTTTGTGGCTGCACAGCGAGATGATGTCTAATAATAAACAAATAAAGCTAGCAAAGCTGGCGTTCAGGCATCAAACAGCGGCTTTTGTGACGAACGACACGTTTGCAAATTTACAGCAAATTTACAGCAGGCTTAGTACATTTCGAACGCTTTTGTTGCATATGTTATGAAATATGCGAGAAATTTGAATGAGTATTACTGTTATTCGGCGAGAGGATCAAGGCCGAGTCCCGTGAGCGTAGATGTGCGGCGCGCAGGAACGCCTTCGTCATGACGCAATCGCGCAGTGTGCGTGGCTCAGCCCTGCCTATCGAACGTCAGTCTGTTTTGTAAACGATCGAAACACAAAGGGAAAGTTAAAAGGCTTTATTGATGAAGACTGCTGCTGTCAACATTTACAAATAATTTATCATATGACGATATCCTATCAGCGTCCAGGTATGCAATATATTTCAGATATACTTTTTTGACAGTAGTGTTTCAAGCACTGTTGTTCGATGGATCAATAAATAAAGATCGCCTTTACTGGTGATTTTAATGCAATTTATTTAGAAATTAAAATGAAATGCTACACAGAATGCATTGCTTATTTTATGTTTTAGACCGAAAGCATCTAGTAAGATAGTATTTGCATGTCCTGCTCTTTGTGCTCTCACAGCCAGAGTATTTACAACATTATTGACGTTACAACATTATGTATTTACCTCGATTTAACTTGTTGATATATCTTATTATGCTACATCACGTTTAAACTAGGAAGCTAACACGTTAGTTAACATGTACTAACAATGAAAATACTGAAACTGTTGTTTACATGTGCCTTGTACTTACTAAAGTAATAACAGTGAATTATTTATAATTACGCATGATAAACTGATACCAACCCCTTTTCTTAAACATATACTATTATAATAAGTTAAATATAGTTTTTTTTTTGTGTGTGTGTGTGTGTGTGTGTGTAAAAACACTGGAACAAAGACTCTTAAAGGGGATAGTTCACCCCAAAAAAAGAAAATTCTGTCATCATTTACTCATCCTTCACTTGTTCCAAACTTGTTTGAGATTCGTTCTTCTGTTAAACAAAAACAAGATAATCTGAAGAATGTTGAAATAAAAAACAGCCTATGACTTGTTTTTGATAATTTTTCCAACATTCTTCAGAATATCTTCTTTTGTGTGCAACAGAACAAAAGTTTAGGAATTTTCATTCTGTGTGAACTATCTCTTTAATTATTGTATAACTGAAAACACTTTCAAAGTATATATTCATTTTAATGCATTACCATTTATCGATAGTTCATTGATTGAAGTTACATACATACTGTAGCATATGTATTGCTCATTGTTTGCTTTATTTCAGATATGACACCAAAGCGTGGCCTCATCACCGACACCTTTAAGGTTGTGAAGAAGGCAAGGAGAGGAGGCAAGAGAAGCAAGTCTCCTTCACCACCGAAAGCAGGTCAGATAGTATTTTGTTCTGTGTGTTAACATGCATCTTTAAGCAGAAATCATTCCATATCACTATGGTCCTAAAGTGTGCAAATGCTTTAGAGGCACATGCAACCATGTAATGCATTTATAACCTGTTATTACTGCTCAGAGCCTGAACCCCCACAACTGAGTGAAAGAGAAAAAGATATACAGGAGCTGAAGAACTTTGATCTGGATTGGAAGTTTGGACCATGCACAGGTAAACGTCTGTTTTTGATTTTACATTGATTATAATAACGGCAGCATGGTTGCGCAGTGGGTAGCGCTGTCGCTTCACAGCAAGAAGGTCACTGATTCGAGCCTTGGCTTGGCCTGTTGTCATTTCTGTGTGGAATTTGCATGTTTTTTTTTTATTACAAGATTTTAAGCTTTAAATATATATATATATATATATATATATATATATATATATATATATATATATATATATACATTATAAGAGCAAACATTGGCTCATACTTTAGAAATACAAAAGACAGTATAAAATAAAACTAAAAAGAAAGGAGACAAAAAACACACACACAACATCACAAAACATACATCAAAACAAGAGGGGTTATATAACTTAAACCTCAGAGTGGTCAGTAGATTGCTTTTTAGATATTGATTTGTCAAATAAATCAAGAAATTGACTCCAAGTAGCCAAATATTTTCTGATGAAGCTAGTCCTTAAAAATCTGAGTCTCTCCATCTGAATAACAGACATGATATCAGAAATCCAGTTCTGCAATGAGAGGCGTAAAGGTGATTTCAAATTTATTACACTATATTTGTTTAGCCACCATCATGCCTTGCATTAAAGACTTTTGCATTGTTTGAGAGAGAGAAGATGTGATTTGTGAGAAGTCAAAGATGGCAAGTTCGATATCTGGCAGAAAAGGCCTGCTCTAAGCTCAGCCTTCCAGTTCTGTTTGTCCAGAATCTGTTCAGTAAGGGAAAAATTGGCATGTTCTCCCCGTGTTGCCATGGGTTTCCTCCAGGCTCTCTAGTTTCCCTTACAAGCCCAAAGACATGCGCTATAGGTGAATTGGGTAAGTTAAATTGTCCGTAGTGAATTGGAGTGTATGGGTGCTTCCCAGTGATTGGTTGCTGCTGGAAGGGTATCCACTGTATAAAACATATGCTGGATAAGTTGGCGATCCATTCTGATGTGGTGACCCCAGATTAATAAAGGGACTAAGCTGAAAAGAAAATGAATGAATGAATGAATGAATAAATGATAATAACTATTGATTAACCCTTAAAGGGATATTTCATCCAGTAATGACAATTCTTTAATGTTTTACTCATACTTCTCTTGTTCAAAACCTGATTCAGTTTCAGTCTGCTGTTAAACATAAAAGAAGATTTTTTGAAGAATGTTGAAAACAGGTAACCATTGACTTCCATTGTATTTTTCCCCATACTATGGGAGCCAGTGGTTACCAGGTTTCAACATTGTTGGACAAAATAACTACTTTTGTGTCCAACAGAAAAAAAGGTATGAAGGTTTAAAACTACATAAAGGTGAGCAAACGATTACAGAATTTTTTTGAGAGGTGAACTATCCCTTTAAGGACAGACCTGTTGTGTTCTCTGATGTTTCTTTTGGTTGTAAATGGTCTGGTTGAATCCTCCTGTTTGCATTTTTCAACTTATTTTTAAAACAGCCATGTTCAATAGCTATATTTATGCAGAAAACTGCATCATCCATGATGCTTTACTGAAACCAACAACCTAAACGAATAATTTCATTCAATTCATTTTTATATATATTTTTATTAAATCACTTTATCATTTGCAATGCTTGATGGGATTATAGTTCTCTAATTAAAACAGCTAAAGTAGTTCACTCAAAATGGAAAATCTCTCATTATTTACCCTCTCCTGACTGTCACAAACCTGTTCTTCCTCTTTTTTCTGACAAAATAAGTTATTTAGAAAAATCTTGGAAACAGGTAACCATTGACTTCCCAACTTTGTTTTTCTCTGCTATGGTTGTCTATGGTTACCTGTTTCTAACATTCTTCAAAATGACTTATTTTGTGTTCAGAAAACAGAAACTCATAAATGTTTGGAAACACTTGAGGGTGAGTAAAAAATGTTTATTTTGGGGGGAACTGTCCCTTTAAGTACGTAATCCTTGCCTTTGTTATTATGTCTGATTTGCATACATATCTTTGCTTTACATCAAATTTGGTAGGGCTATGATTCTCATTGTAGTTCATGGCTCATAAAGCTTCAACAAAGACTAAAAAATCCCTAAGGGGAAAATGCGTCCTGGAAAAGTGTATGCGCGCTAATGCACTCAGCATTGTGTGTTTGTGCGTTAGGGATCAGTCGACTGCAGAGATGGGAGAGGGCAGCACTGCATGGGCTGAATCCCCCGCAGGAGATTAAAGACATTTTGCTGAAGGAGGACACTGACCCAGAGTACACACAGAGGTATAACTAACACACGCTCGCATATTCTCTCTCTTCCGTTTACACAGAAACCACAGAAACCGAAACCTTTGTATCTTTAACACTTTGCCTCACTCTGTTTCAGTCTCTGGCGTGACTATCCTTTCTGACAAACAGATGGAGAGTGACAGAAACGGAAGGAAAAAGGAAAATAGTTTTGATATGTTCTGCTATGTTTGCTTTGCTGTTTACTACACTACATTTTATTAAACATTTGTATGCAAAAGCTTTAATTATTGAGTCATTTTATGCTTTACTTTACACACACCATGCTACAGGTGCATAAAGAGATCAGTCACTCATATCACTATATACACTTTTTTAATCCCATGTGAAAAAATACTATAGTCATTTATAGTAAATACTATAGTGTTTTAGCACCATACTACAGTAAATACATGAAATATTTCTATAGTTCTGGTAATCAACACACTACAGTAACATAAAAACCGACCCAATAGTGTAATAAGCTTTCTATAGCTTTAGATAATATATTCATTTTCCTTCAGCTTAGACCCTTATTTATCAAGGAGACCTGATAAGTATTTATCAGTTCACTACAGTTAGTTAGTGTTGTAAATACTATAATATATACACTATACACTAGTTACTTTAGATTACTGTGATATTTTTTCATGTGTGTTGTACTTTTTATATTCTCTGACAGTTTTTTTTATACACTTGAATTGCATTTACATTTTAGGAGTTTTTCATAATCTAAATCACAGAGTGAAAGGCAAAGGGCCATTGAATGTAAACTTCAGTCTATAACGGGGTGTCAAACTCAATTGTTGGAGCGCCACAGCCCTGCAGTGTTAAGTTCCAACCCTGCTTCCACACACCTTCCTGTAGGTATCAAACAAGCCTAAAGCACATAATTAGTTTAATCAGGTGTGTTTGATTTGAGTTGGAACTAAACTATGCAGAGATGCAGCCCTCCAGGAATTGAGTTTGACACATGTGGTTTATAATCACCAATAATTGATCATCTTACACCATTTTGAGACTACATGCCTGTAGCCAGCCTGGTGAAAGAGGCGGTTCTTTTTTGGACATGTCTTGCAGTTATTGGCCTCATTTTCTATTTATTATGAAATTTAAATACTGACTTTTTGTGAGATTTTAAGCACTGTTTTTATTCTTTTGCTGGATTAGTTTGTCAAATGGTCACCTTTTAATGTACCAAAAACATTTTCTAAAGATTTAGAATAAAGAAATATAAAAAATAGGTTACTAAAATGCAAATTCATTACATCATACTGTAAATCACTAGGGGAAAAACAACAATCTGTTAAGGTTTTAAATTAAAAACTAGCCTAGTGCCAGATATTAGGCAAATAACAA